AGCATTTCACCCTGATCGTGGGTGCTGCCAACCCCGTCTCCGTGTGCCTGGGGGATGTCTCCTGCCAGCCCATCTCCCCCAGCCCCCGGTGACACGCTCCTCTTGTCCCCAGGTGGCGGTGAGCGTGCAGGGCGAGGAGATGGCTTCAGACAGGATGCAGCGTGCTGCGGTGCTGGAGGAGCCACAGGCCCAAACTGCAGATGTGCCTCTGGAGGAGGCAGCACAGAGGCACAGCCCAAGGCCTCGGGACCAGCCCCCTCGTGGCCCCAGAGAGAAGCCCCTTCCAGATCCAGAGTCAGGTGAGGGGCCGGGTGCGGGCTGGGGCGTGGGTCTGAGTGCCGCAGCGGTTGTCTGCAGTCTCTTCCCCCCCCGACCCCAGACACACACACAAAGGCCTCCGGCTACCACACTCACGGGCCAGTACAGGACAACAACAGGGCTTTCTCCCGCTAGCAGCACCCGGCCTGAGTCGTGCATTGTCTTCCCCACCCACAGGTGCAGGAACCATGAGGAAAGCTCATCAGCAGCCTCCTGAAGAAGGGCCTGCAAACCTGGAGCTGCCCAGGACTTCCTCAGGGAGGCTGGGGGAGAGGGGCTTCCTGAGTCCTGAACGAAGCCAACTGCAGCCGGGGCAGGGAGGTGAGCAGGGCACTAGCTCCAGCTGGGGTGGGAGTGCAGCCCGGGCCATGGCTGGGGGAGCGAGGGTAGCTGTCAAGAGTTTGGGGAGCAGAGAGAGCTAAGGAGCAACAAGCCTCTGGTGACGGGTGCTGCAGTCACACCCAGCCAGCATTTGCCAGAGCTTGCCCCGCAGTGCCAAGAGCCAGGGGTGCTGGCACGGGCGACCCGGGCCACGGTTGTGGAGCCCAGAATCTAAAGATTCTGCCTCAGCTACTAAGCACGTAGAAAGCGATGAGCTGGTCCAAGACAGACGCATGGACCCTACGTCCCCGGCTGCACCCACATCCCCTGTCAGTGCAGAAGGGGGCATTTTGCACCCCTGGGTGTCATGGCCCAGCCTGCAGAGAGGTGTCACACAGAGGGATTGTGGAGAGGGCGGCGGGGGCTGGAGGCAGCTGGACCAAGAGACAGTGATGGGGTAACGCTTGTGCCTGCAGCTCC